GCCTCAGTTGTTACCAGGACTTGCAGAGTCAGAGAGGATGATGATGATGATGATGATGATGATGATGGTGATGGTGATGATGGTCATGATGATGGTGAGGCCTGCCCCATCCTCTGTTTTATCAATTTACTCCTGTCCCCAGTTTACATTACATTTGACTTGTAATGACCTTGTAAATCCTTAAGCCAACAAAATGACTGGGATTCTTCCCTTTTAACTAAGCCAACCTTTGATATATGTTTCATGGGATGTATTTTATAAGATCCACTGTCTTACAACTTTGTTGGACAGTGTTCTAGAGCACAGCCCTTATTGTTTAAGTCTAGCATCTCTTAACACACCCATCCTCGAGTAACTTAAGCTTTCTGGCTAAGATTGTAAAAACATCCAAGTGTACTTCTTCTACTTAATGATCTTTATATTTTACTTTATCATCAATAATGAGAAGAGGGGTGGTGATCACCTAACGTGGAAAAGGGAGAGCTGGTTAAAAGGCACGAAAGTTGTGTCATGAGCTGGATTCTCAAGTTATCATTCATTTGGAAGTTCCTTGGTTGCTGGTTTTTATAGAACAGGTTATGCTTTTGTGGTATTAGAAGGGGTTCAGTCTCCTTTCATTTTCCTCTCTCCCTTTAGTAGCTTACATACCTTAATTCAACCTAATGAGAATATGAAGGCATGTCCTTTTAGAGCTGATAAAAAATGTCCTTTAGATACATTAGCCAGTGCAGGAAAGATATTTTCAGTGTCTCTGGAGTGAGATACTTGTTTGTTGCAGACCCAACCTATAGGCTTTTAGATTTAGTAGACACCACCTTAAACAGAGACCAGATAAGTATAGATATACTTCTTACCCAATGATCTTTTTGAATTATGGCATTACTTGCCCCCCCATAAGTTCATTTGTGAATATGTAAAGGATTATAATTCTATCATGCATGTTTGAATATGAAGTTTGCCTGGAATCATTTAGGGACCCATTTCTTCCCTCCACTATCCATTAAAAGGAAAAGGGGGAGAAATAAATCTGAATTAAATTCTAATTTTATTTGTGTCATTACAAGTCGTCCCCCTGTGGTATATATTTATCTTTCATGAAAGAATCATTGCATCTAGCTTAATTGTCTCTAGGAAAGGAACTAAAAGGGGAAGGAATCATCCTTTCATCTCAGCATTTCATTTATAAGAGTCAAAATCAATATAGGACGGGGCTTGCATCTGTTGGACTGGCCACCCAAAGTTCTAAACTCAAAGGGAGTCAGGATCAAAAAAGAATCGTGGATCTAACACATCCTTTAGCTCTTCTGTGTCTTCTGATAAGCAGATTTCTAAGTGTGGGGTGGTATCTTCCATGTTTCTGAATGCTCCACGCATGCCTTATAAGGTGCTCAGATGAAGCTTCATAAATGTGAAATGAGTGCAATTTTGTTGCCACAAGAGCGATTAGATGAAACCCTGGAGTTCTGGAAGGAGGAATAAACCCAAGAGACTCAAAGATGTGATGAAAACAGCTGTGCAATTATTACAGATTGGGTGTAGAATTGAAAGGGAGAGGTTGCAGAGTATGTTCTTGGGAGTTTTTTCCAGGTAGATGCTTGGCAAGCAGTTCTGGAGCTGGCTTTGAGCAGTGCTTCTCAAATTCCTGTCAACTGGCCCAGGATGTCCCCCCCCCCCCCTTATAAAATTGGTTAATCTTTTCCCAGTGACTGTTAAGAATGAGGTGATGGATGGACTGGTCCTCCAAGTTCTTTGCTCCTGCCGTCTCTGACATTTGCTGGTTTTGATCAATACCCCAAAATAACAAACAGCAGTCTTAAAAAGGTAGACTTGCAGTCATTCTTTGAGTGAATCGGTATTTTATAGAGACTCCGAGGCTTCCCTCAGCTCAGCAGAGTTTGAGAACTGCTGAAGTAGAGCGCTAATGAAAAACAGTTCCCCTGGGGCCAGGCCGGAGCAGGCTTCACCAGCTTTTCTGACTACAGATCTGGGTATTGTGTCCTGGAAAAGGCTGTTCTTGTTCCCTTACTCCTGTCTCTTATCTAAGGCTGTTATCTAGTCAGCGGGATGAATCCCGTGGCTTTATTTACTTACCTTACAGGTCTTTTGAAACAAGCCATCAGGGGGATTTTTCTGTGAGGTGGAATTGTGAGTGTAACACTAGTGTCCAGACAGCCAGATTTAGGTTGGTCATAGAGAGAAAGGAAGTGTTTGGCTTTCTTTTGTGAAAGTGCCTCTACCTTTAGAGTTTGTTTCTACCCACAAGCTTTCTTTCTGGTGACGTCACATGAAATATTTGCTTTTCTGTTAGTAAAGATTGTCAGTTCTGGTCGGCAGGAATAATTTTTTAGTCTTTGTTTAGGGGAAGGAGGTGTGTGTGGAATCACTTATGATTCATTATGATTCATCTTCAAATTAGAAATCTGGTGTGTGGCACATTTTAAATTAGCACAGCCTTCCTGCGCCTCAGCATCAGGAGGGATTGGTTCCTCAACCCCCGCGCATACCAAAATCCAAGATAGTATTTGCTTATAGCCCACCCACTTCCTGCAGAATACTTAACATCATCTACAATCACTTATATAATATAAAGTAAATGCTATGTAAAGCAAATGGTTATCATGGTACATTGTTTAGGAAATGGCCAGAAATTGTCTGTACATATGCGCCTAGACTCAACTCCATAATATGTAATTGGGGGGGGGGGGGGAGGGCACAGAGCTTACTCCTGGCTCTTTATTCAGGGATTACTTCCGGTAGACTCCCAAGGATCGAACTTGGGTCAGACATGTGCAAGGTATGTTGCCTACCCACTGTACCATTGCTCCAGCTCTATATAGTATGTAGTTTTGAGTGAAGGTTGGCCGAATCCAGGGATGTGCAGGGCTGAATGATTCCAATAAGCATATCTACAACCCGGGCTGGAGCAATAGCACAGTGGTAGGGCGTTTGCCTTGCATGCAGCCAACATGGTCGACCCGAGTTTGATTTCTCCACCCCTCTCGGAGAGCCCGGCAAGCTACCGAGAGTATCTCGCCCACACAGCAGAGCCTGGCAAGCTACCCATGATGTATTCAATATGCCAAACACAGTAACAACAAAGTCTCCAATGGAGACGTTACTGGGCCCGCTTGAGCAAATCGATGAACAACGAGAGGACAGTGACTATTTCACTATATCTAGAACCTGCACAGGGACAACAGAAGTCCTAGGAAAGGTGCCTTGGGAGAGTAAATAGAGCAGAAAGGCTGAGTGGGTGTTTTAATTCATGGGCATTACAAATGGTCTATGCTATAAATTTAATTTTCTATGTGGCTGTTGCAGATCTTTAGCAGCGTATGCCAACTGGCATTTTTAAACAGAGAGCCCATCCATTTATTTCCGTTCAATGCAAAGCTAAGCAGCATCGGAACCATGTTGTGAGGGGAATGAGCAGACTGGCTCTCCTTAAAGTTTGGGAAAAGGTGCAGATGCTGGAAAGACATGACTGGCAGGGTATGTTTCATAAATTTAGCAAATTATTCTAAGATGTGGAGGCGGCAGACTAAAAATTATGGTATCTCAAAAGTCAGCAAGCTTTGGAGTCGAAGGGTAAAGAGCTTTTAAACATAGGTTGGAAGCTCAGTAAATGTTAGTTTCTCTGTACTTCCCCCCCCCCACCCTGTACTGCAATGGGAAATGATAATGGTTTTCTATTGTGCTTTAAGCATCTGTGGGTGATGGCACTGCTGACTGGATGCTTTGGTGGGAAAATTAGCTCCTACAGTTCAAACCATTCAACAGATAATAAGTTGATGGAGCTATAAATATCTAGAAATAAATGAATAGAAAAATAACTTTTAAAAACAAGGCTGAGTGCTAGATGCTGTAGATAGGAAGTGCAATGCTTAGCATGGGTTCTCTTTCAAGAAGCTTTGAGATTTATTGAGACAAAGGCTCGCCAAACATTGCCAACTCCCCAGGAGCTGCCAAAGAGGGTGAGACACTATTGGACAGAAGGAAGGGTGGGGCTTTCCTGTCAGGGGCAAGCACCAACCTGGACCTTGGAGTCCAGCGGGATTCTGGGCAGGGCTAGAGAAGATGGGCTTCCTAGCTCAGAGAAGGGTGTGAACAGAGGTAAGATGGCTGTCGCAGATTCTCCTGCTGGTGTAGATCTTGTTAAACCAAAGAAACCATGTTGGGGGATGGAAACAGGACACTAGAAAATTAATTTAGAGGCAGAATGAGTTGGGGGGGGGCATGGTGGGATGTCTTGAAGAGGAGACAGGGGATTTGGGTTGATATTTTTCTAAGTAGCTATCCCTAATGTGGAACCATAATTTATGGGGGGTCTTTGCTTCTTTGTTTGATCACAGTAAGAATAAGTCCGATCAGGGAGCAGTTTGAGGACTTCATTTAGTCTCTGTTCATTGGTGGGCTGGTTTGAAGGGGCGGGACTAGAGGGCGGAGCACTCACTTTGAAGTTGAAGTGGCCCTTCAGGTGTGGCATGAGAAAAGGCTGAGTGTGACCAGACAAGGACAGAGAGGAAGAAAGGAATTATATTAACAATAAAGCAGAGGTGGATGGAGAGATCACACAGCAGCTAGGATCCTTGCCTTGCATGCGGCCGAACTAGTTCAATACCCAGTATCCCATATGCTCCCCTAGCCCCACCAGTAGTAATTCCTGAGCTCAGAGCCAGCAGTGAACTCTGAGCATCGTGGATGTGGCCCCAAAACCAAAACCCAATAAAGCAACAAGCACAGAAACATCTTTGTCTTACTCTTATTTGCACTCTCCAGGACGGGTTCTTTGGGGATGGAGTATCATGTCCCACATGCCTGAAAACTAACCAGACTCTAAGAACAAGGATGTTAATCTCACTTGGCCTGTGAGTGGAGATTTAAACCCATTTAGGGGGTCATGGACAACTATGGGTCATGCATATACAGCATGTGCAATGATGGTGCAAAGATTTCTGTTTGATTTTAATTTTCTTCTTCCTTCCTTTCTTTCAAAATAGACTCTATCAAGAAGAATTTCCAATCCATACCTTGAGCACACTCCTTCCCAGGTATGATTTTTTTCCTCTCTCTTGGCTGTATTCTCTGAAACAAACAACTTAGTCCTGGTGTCGAATTCTCTAGTTAGAGGTATCGCCTTTGCTGTTGATCGCACTCTCTCTTTCACTGGGAATGACACCACGGAAGGTGTCTGAGATGTTCTGTTAATTGTGTCCTGGTTCAAGATACTCACTAGACAGTGGGGAAAATATTACATCTTTTACATCTTCCCTGCCCTTTACATAAATGCATTATCAGTACAGAAGAGATACCAAATAATATATGTATTTTTCAATTTGCTCTATTGATAGGCACCCTGTATTTCAAAAGTAGTGGATATTGTAGCATTGTACTACACTGTCCTTGCATTGTTCATTTGCTCGAGTGGCCACCAGTAATGTCTCCATTGTGAGACTTGTTACTGTTTTTGGCATATTGAATATGCCACGGGGAGCTTGCCGGCTCTGCCATGTCGGCAGAATGCTCTTGGTAGCTTGCTGGGCTCTCCGAGAGGGATGGAAGAATCAAACCTGGGTCGGCCATGTGCAAGGCAGGTGCCCTTTTGCTGTGCTATCGCTCTAGCCATGGATATTGTATACCAAAGAATTGCCATCAAAGGGATTACTTATGGTTATGTCATAACAGATTATGTCTGTATGCCTACTGATAAGAAAAGATGAAGATTTTATGTTGTAGCAAAGAATCACTCAGCAAAGAGTTGCATGTTTTCCAATAGCAGAAGCCCAAGCTTTGTGAGAGTTCGGATCTTTAGGATCTTGTTCTCTGCAGTATGCCCAGTAACTCAAATGGAGCCTAATAGCTGTTTACTCAATTTGGGGGTGCCCTCAAAGCAGTGCTAGGAGGTGTGCATGTCATTTCTGGTGAAGTTGGCCCAGTTACTTAGGCTCTAAGGTGCTTAAGTCAGCAGAGCCACTTTTGATGATACCTGTGGATCAAAGTTTGGGGCTTCAAGCAAGCCAGACAAGTGCTCCAGCCCTTTGATCTATCTCTCCATCTCTGCTTTTTTTTAAACCTAACTCTAATCTTAACTTTATGTCCCTGCCTTTTAAAAAAAATATAATTTTTTAATTAATGAATATTGGTACCATGTTAGAACTAGTACATGTCAGCTGGGCTGTACTTCTGTCATCTGACTTTTTTCCAGTTTTTTTAAAAATAATTTTAGCATGTTAAAAATAAGTCATTTTATACACATCTTACTTTCCCTTTAGGTTGGTTTAGGAGAGAATAATGGGAAAATTAGAGAATGGTGAGGGATGAGGCAGGATGGGGAGGAAGTCTTCTCTGTCAGGTCATGCTCAGTATATTGTGGAGCTGTTCTGCGAGAGATAAAAAATAATTTGTAGGTATAAAAAGAATTCACCTAGAAGCAAGTAAGTGGAGATGAGCCTGTACCTCCAATAGATTTAAATTTTCATGAGTCTTGCTGATGAATAGCGTTCATTTTCATTTAGTTTTCTTTGTTTGAAGCAGCATTGCACTGAGTGTGGAAGAACCCATTAGAGAAAGAAGGGAGGACCAAAAGTAGGACATGGACTTCTCTAGATCTAAAGAAAATACTCTCCTTTTATCCTCCAAGAATCAGAGACTCATGTGGATGAATTAGAAGATTAAAAAAAGAAGTTAAATGAAATTTTTATCTGCTAGATGAAATTGCCAAGTAGATAAAACCAGGATGCCTGGAATTAACTCTGAACTTTGCCTTTGAGTGAAGCTTAAAAGCAACGCAGACAGCAATCTCCTATCAAATTGTCATGGTGCAAGATGTTCACTGGATAGGGGGAAAAATCTTTCCCATCTTTCAATACCTTTACATGAATGTATTATCAATATTGCAAAGTCAAAATATGTGTACATTTCAGTATGCTATATTTTGGTAGAAATAGTATCTTTTTTAAGGTGGTTATGTGATGCTGAAAGCTATGGAAAAATATTATTTCACTGAAAGCAGTTTGTCATTTGGAAAATAGTCAATATAGCTTAATGGCAATGGACCAAGAGCAAAGAGAAAATAGATACTTAGTCTGTGACTATGTAGGCTAAAATACAAGCATTTTAAATCTAAGGATTTGATCATGATTTTTGATGTACAATATTTTATTGACAGTTCACAGAATGTCACATTATTGTTTTAAATTAACAGTGACTATCTTTCCCATTTAGATTTATGGAGAGAATTCTTCCTGTGCAGGAAGAGCATTAAGGAATATTATTGTTGTCCAGGCAGCTGACCTGATAAAAGACAGAGTGAACCTCAAGGGATTTTACAGGTAACACAGTTTTCTAACACCTTTGGCAAAAATTCTCCTTGTGGAGAAAAAAATAAAAAAATGTGTTAAAATAGTAACCTTGATTGCAGAGAGATGAGTTCCATCAGTCCCGGGAGGGGTCCGTTTGCTTGTTCTGCAGCTTTGGGTGGGTAGCCAATGGAGACTTCCCTTGATCTTAACCCAGTATGGGTGGACAGTCGGATGCCAGGTGCTTAAGTGAAGGCGTGGACTACCCAGCCGTAAGTGGACTTTCTGAGACAGGCTCTACTTTCAGAGCAGTGTTACTGTACAACATTTTTGTACAGCGTTTTGGGACTGTGCTGGGCTGGGGACTCTTAGAAAATATAAGTTCTCCTCTTCTAGAACCTTCTCCCAGCTCCTTGGGGACTTCAGAGCTATCTATAGGAGATATTCTCATTCTCCAGGTAGGAGAGACCTGCCCTCCATGGGGCAGTGCCAAGGTCCATGGGCATGGGAATGGCCTTTCTCTGCCATGGATAGTGAACCCTGGTGGAGGAGTTAGAGTGAATGGCAAGTTAATAATAAGTTTTTAAATATTGCTGGCCCTAGGCTGACTTACAGTTGGAGCATATCTTCCATGGGATACTTTTTTTAAAAATCCACATTTTCACCTTTTGAATTTTCTAAGTAAGGATATGGGATCACATAAAGCAAAAGAAACTATAAAAAGAGAAAGAGAAAACAAGCCAATGCCATTTGTTATCATTCTTTTTTTTCTAATAGGAATAAGATTGTTAAACCACCATAAAGAACAGGAAAAGTCAATGACAACAAAAAAGAGTCTCCAAACTGAAAGCATTTTCCTTAATTCAGCTAAAATCAATGAGTTTTCTATAATAGTTAATTTATTGGAAACTTAGTATCGTAGTCTTATTTTTCCTACTTGCTATAGAAGGGGGAAAATGTCATCATGGCCTGGATTGGCCATAGCTAATTGTCATTATGGGTTGGTCATAGTCACAAACCTATTAATGATTTGTGACCTCTTCCCCTTTCCATGCCAGTGACTGTCCTATGGTCCAGGTTCCTTCTAATAAGGCACCTTGGCAAGAGTTTGTATTCGATAGCACAGCGGGTAGGGCGTTCGCCTTACAAGCGGCCAACATGGCCGACCTGAGTTCGATTCCTCCGCCCCTCTCGGAGAGCCCGGCAAGCTACCGAGAGTATTCGATATGCCAGACACAGTAACAACAAAGTCTCCAATGGAGACATTACTGGGCCCGCTCGAGCAAATCGACGATCAACGGGAGGACCTTTACCTTTACCTTTACCTTAATTATAATAAAATCACAGTGAGATACAGTTACAAAGTTGTTCATGATTGGGTTTCAGTCATATAACCTGTCATATAACCAACACCTGTTTCTTCATCAGTGTACATTTCCCACCACCAGTGTCCCCAGTTTCTGTCCTGCCCTCTACCCCCCTACCCCACTTCTTATAAATTAAGAAGTAGGTGATGGTATGAAGTTTAAACATACCCACCTTTGAGGTGTGTGCTGAAAATAGATAAAGGGCCAAACATGATAGCCTCTCAGTATCTGTACTGCTAACCGTAATGCCCATAAGAGAAAGAGAGAAATTGTCGGCCATAGAGGCATTTGGGGGAGGGAGTATGATGGGGACATGGGGGCAGGGGAGATTTGGGCGAGGGATACTGGGAATATTGGTGGTGGAAAATGTACACTGGTGGAGGGATGGGTGTTCGATCATTGTATGACTGAAACTCAAACATGAAAGCTTTGTAATTGTATTTCACAGTGATTCAATAAAAATAAAATAAAATAAGCATACTCACCTTCTCCCCTCACCAAACATAACATGCAACTTTTAAAATTAAAACAGAGTATACATGTGTGCATGTATATGTGTGTATATATATATGTGTGTCTCTGTGTATACACTTGATCACTTGACATCCTGTTACTCATCGACTTGCTTGAGCGGGTGCCAGTAACATCTCTATTCATCCCTGTTGCATGCTAGTATAGCCCAATGGCGTCTCCTTGCCCCAGGAACACAAAAAGTCTCAAACCGATCATTGATGAAGAAATTTGACCATTTCGTAGGTGGGCAGCCATGCGATCTTTTGACGTCCCATGGAATCCAGTTGGTAACGGCTCTAGTCCAGCAGTCATCTCCAAATTGCATTATGTTTCCCACCCGTCTGGTTTTTGATGCCTTGGTGAACGAGACAGCGTCCCTGATTCTTGATCGTCGACGGAGCTCGGAACTCCGGATTCTTTCTCTCACTTGAGTGAAGCGTGATACTCTAAGCATAGCTCTTTCGATTCCTCTTTGGAAGACCCATATAGTGTTCTCATGCTGTTTTCATGGGGCTCAGGTCTCTGAGGTGTATGTTAATGCAAGAAGAACAGTGGAATCGAAGAGATGTGCCCAGAGCCAGATATTCTTCATCCTTTCAGCTATTTTTCGACGCTCTTGAAGGTGTTCCAAGCCACTCTCTTCCTCCTGCGCAACTCACGTGCCAGGTCATTCGTCATATTGACTTCTCGACCTAGGTACATATAACTGTTGCATCCACAGATGTTCGTTCCATTGAGTCAATGGAACATCAGGAATGAGACTGTTTCTCATAAACATTGTCTTCTTGATATTCAGCTGTAGTCCTACCTTTCCACACTCACAGATGGAGTCGGTCAGCATTTGTGCTGCTTGGCTGATGTTTGGTGTTATTAGAACAATATTATCAGTGAAGCGGAGGTGATGTACTTGCCGATCATCTATCTTCACTCCCATTCATTTCCATTCCAGTCATCACCATCACATGACTTTCTCCAGGGTGGCACTGAAGAATTTCAGTGAAGTGGTATCACCCTGCTGAACCCCTCTCTTGACATGGATGATCACTTCTTTGTAGAATGGTGAGATCCTGCTATAGTGGGTCTGTCATACAGCTCATGGAGAATCCTGATGTATTGAGTTTGAATGGCCTGTTTGGCTAGGGCTTTGATGACCACTTCAGTCTCAACAGAATCAAAGGCCTTTTTTAAATCAGTGAATGTTAGACAGAGCGGCATCTTGGACTCCCGAGAAACCTCAATGAGCTTGGTTATTGTGCATAACCATGTGGTCGATCGTATTGGATCTTTTTCAGAACCTTGCTTGCTCGCATGGTTGTTTCTTCATCTAGTGTTCTGCCATTCCTATTCAGGATAACTTGAGTGAACAACTTGTAGAAGACAGACAGTAGGCAGATAGGGTGATAGTTGTGGATATCTCCCTTCTTGTATAGTAGTACAGTCCTGCTGGTTTTCCACTGGGATGGAACCTTGCATTCAGACAGGTAGCATATGAAGAGCCAAGCCAGTGTATCAATGAGTGCTGACGGAAGGTTCTTCAGATGTTCGGGTCTGACCTTTTCTGGGCTGGGTGCTGTTCGCTTCTTTACCAGTGAAATGGCATGTCAGATTTCCGAAGGGAGAACGTTGGGAAGGACATATCCATCCTGCGGAATTTGGTATTTGGGTAGGTGGACATGACTATCGAAGAGATCTGAGTAGAAGCCATGGATAATCTTCTCCATTGCCCTTCTGGAAGATGTGATAGATCCATCAGGACGTCGGAGGGCAGTCATCTTGGTCTTGTAGTTGGCGAAGGTCAGGTGGGCATTGCTACTGCTTTTCCCAGCTTCTGCTGTATCTGCCAGCACTGCTGCTCTTCTCTCTTTGAGGTTTTCCTTGATCACTTCTCTGCACTGCTTTGCTTGTGGTTGTCTTAGGCTTGCACCAAGCCACGTTGGCGAATAAACTCGAGAGTTTTCAAAGACAGGCATATCACTATCACTATCACATAAAACATATCACTATCACTATCACCCCGTTGATTGTTCATCGATTTCCTCGAGCAGGAACCAGTAACGTCTCCTGTCATGTGCTAGTGTAGCTGATGGCATATTGGGGACTCTCTCAGGGTCAGGGGAATGAGGACCATCATTGTTACTGTTTTTGGCATATCGAGTATGCACGGGTAGCTTGCCAGGCTCTGCTGTGCAGGCGGGATACTCTCAGTAGCTTGCTGGGCTCTCCGAGAGGGATGAAGGCTTTTGGGGCAGCCTCTAATCACCTTTACAGGTATTCCCAGTCAGACATATATGCGGGCAAGATACTCTCGGTAGCCTACTGGGTTCTCTGAGAGCGAGAACTAGACAATAAGAGGTTGCTTCCGGGAGCTTGGTTTTACAGTCGCTGGATCTTGGCCATTGATGGGGTTACATGGCAGTTGGTGGGTGTAACTGTCTAGCCTCTGGAAGATGGGGAATATGGGTGGAGGAGGCCCAGTCCCAATCTGAGCAGGCTTGGAGATCTCAGCCCCAGGTACCACACACCTGGGTTCCTCTGCCGGTTTCTTCATGCGTGAGGCTCGTCCTAGCATGTGGAGAGTGGTCTCAGCATGGCTGTGGCTGGGTCCCAGAGGTCTTCAGGCCTTTATGTATGTATGTATATATATATATATATATATATATATAATATATACACACATATATAAAATCTTTGGGGTTTTGATGTGAGCAAACACTTGGTGTTTCTTTTTTTTTTTCTTTTTGGGTCACACCCGGCAATGCACAGGGGTTACTCCTGGCTCTGCACTTAGGAGTTACTCCTGGCGGTGCTCAGGGGACCATATGGGATGCTAGGAATCAAACCCGGGTCGGCCACGTGCAAGGCAAACACCCTACCTTCTGTGCTATCACTCCAGCCCCAAACACTTAGTATTTCTTTCAGCCACCACCTAAGGTCATGTGTAACATCTGTCATTATTGTCATTATTCTCAATTTTATTTATGTGTTTTATTTGATTGCAAATTTAAAAGAAGATATGGGAACTAGATGTGTAGTAATCCTGGAAAAGAATTTTTTATTTATTTTTTTTACAGACTTAAAAACTTTCATGATTATGTTTCAGTCATACAATGTTCAAATACCCATCCCTACACCAGTGCCCATTCTTCACCACCAATGTTCCCAGTATCCCTCCCGCCACGCCCATCCCTTCCCACCCCCTGCCTCTGTGGCAGGCACGTTCTCTCTCTCTCTCTCTCTCTCTCTCTCTCTCTCTCTCTCTCTCTCTCTCTGTCTCTCTGTCTCTCTCCTTTTGGGTGTTATAATTTGCAATACAGGTACTAAGCAGCCATCATGTTACAAAGGATTTGGTAGATGAAATTAAAAGCTCAGTGGGTGCCCTCAACAGTAGAATGACAACAGACAAAGAATCTTTTATCCAGGTTAGAACTTGCTTAGAATGTAGTGTGATAGAAAGAAGCCAGGGTGTATTTTGCTATCTCATACACCCCAGGTCCAGGTCAGAATCTTCTTTCTTTTTCTTTTTTCCTTTTTAGGTGAGAGAGAGCAAACCCAAGAATGTTCAGGGGTCACTCTTGGCTTTGCTCTCAGGGATCACTCTTAGCGGAGCTTGGGTGGCTATATGTGGTGCCAGGGATGAACTTGGGTCAGCCACATACAAGGAAAGTGCCTTACCCACTGTACTATCTCTCCAGCCCCTCTTATTTTTAAAAAATAAGAGTCAAGTTTGGAGAGTTAGAACAGGAGGAGTTAAGGCACTTGCCTCACATGGAACCAACCCAGATTCACTTTCTGGCACTACGTGTGGTCTCCCGAATCCTACCAGAAGTCATCCCTGAGCACAGAGCTAGAAGTAAGCCCTGAGCACAGCCAGCTGTGGCTTCAGACCAAGATAATTAATTAAAATAATGAGGATCAATTAATGTTCTGGATTCTAAGACAAACTGCTGATATGATTGTCCCCCAAGCACTGCCAGGAGTAAGACCTGAGCATTGCTTTGTATGGCCCAAACCCCCCAAAGCAAGCAAACTAAAGCTAAAAAAACCAACAAAGTATTGATCTGGTTGACTGGTGGTGGCTTATTTCCATTTGGTAGCAAATGGATGTCAGGTATTTCTCTTATCTAACAAAAGAACTAGAAAGAACTAGTTGAAAAACTTTGAAATGTTTACTTTGCCTATGGCACAATCACTGTATCACTGTCATCCCATTGTTCATTGATTTCCTCAAGCAGGCACCAGTAACGTCTCCATTCGTCCTAGCCCTGAGATTTTAGCAAGAGCCACATTGGAGGCTCTTTTAGGATTAGGGTAATGAGACCCATAGTTGTTACTGGGTTTTGGCATATTGAATACACCACAGGGAGCTTGCTAGACTTTGCTGTGTGGGACAGATACTCTCAGTAGCCTTCTGGGTTCTCTTGAGAGCGAGAACTAGACAATAAGAGGTTGCTCTTCCGGAAGCTTGGTTTTATAGTCTCTGGGTCTTAGCCGTTGATGGGATTACACAGGCGGGGGAGGGGGGCGGGAGGGCGTAGTTGGTGGGTGTAACACCTAGCTACTGGAATATGGGGGATCTGGGTGGAGGAGGCCCAGTCCTGATCCGAGCAGGCTTGGAGATCTCAGCCCCAGGTCCCACACACCTGGGTTCCTCTGCCTCTGCCGGTTCCTTCATGTGTGAGGCTTGTCTGAGTGTGTGGAGAGTGGTCTTAAGTGTGGCTGTGGCTGAGTTGCAGAGGTCTTCAGCTGACAGGGCTCTGCTCGGGCCGGCGAGGGAAACTCAACCCGCCCCCCTCTGAGGGGCCCTGGTGGGGGCAGCCAGGCGCTGGGGCAGGAAGAGTCTGTGTGGTTCTCTTCCGGGAGCTTGGTTTTATAGTTTCTGGGTCTTGACCATTGATGGGATTACACAGTGCCAGGGGCAGTTGGTGGGTGTAATGCCTAGGTACAGGGTTCCTCTACTGGTTCCTTCATGCATGAGGCTTATCTGAGGATGTGGAGAATGGTCTTAAGCATGGCTGTGTCTGGGTTTCAGAGGTCTTCAGCTGTCGGGGCTCTGCTTGGGGCGGGGAGGGAAACTCACCCGAGGGCTGGAGTAATATCACAGCAGGTAGGGCGTTTGCCTTGCATGCGGCCAACCCAGGTTCGATTCCCAGAATCCCATATGGTCCCCCAAGCTGAGGGTAATTCCTGAATTCTAAGCCATGAGTAACCTCTGTGCATTGCTGGGTGTGACCCAAAAAGAAAAAAAAAAAGCACAATAGAAAGAAAAAACTCATACTAGTTTCTGAGACTTCAAATAAGTACATAAACACCACCACCCTATTTTTATCTGATAGCTGGGTTCTTTCTGCACTCCCACAAATTAATTTCTAAAAATCTCACTGGAGACAAGTGGAGCCAAGAGAAACAAATTTTGAGCTCCAGACATTGTTCAAATTAATGTATTATTATCACAAACACTATGGACGTGTACCCAATCACCTTCATATCACAATGTTCCTACCCAGTTCTGTATCTGTCAGTAGAGCTACATGTACTTGGAACAGTTTCTGGCTTCAGTGAAAGACTGAAAATTCACTGGGGGTAAGAACTGCTGTCAGTATCCACATTGTTCCCCTCCCACCATCTTTTCCTCACTGTTCTCGCCTAAACCCTGGGGATTTAAACATCTTAACTGGATTGGTGTAGACCTGGTCAGCAAGTTGGGGACTGGGTGTGAAATGCAGAGGCAGTTCACCTCGGTGTGTTTGCCTTGGTGCTGTTGGTGACCAGCACCAAGGCTTTGTTGTAAAGCCTCTAATGATGGTTTCCCCTGCTGCAGACAGATTGTTGAAATGAATTTGAAACTGATCTTGATGACGTTGGGGGTCCGGATCCAGCACTTCAGAAAGAGTAGCTTATTTCTGAAGCAGGGCGGCTTCCTTATGAACTCAATTTGCTACTGTAATACAGAAGCAAATTGAGCAAATGACTTCACCCCCTTCCCACACTCCTCATACCCCCTCCAACCTGAGCAAATCCTTCTCTGTGAGAAAGTCGAGGTGGGATACTGGGAATATGTGATCACCAGCATTGCCAGGGAGCCAGTGAGGAATGATACTCACCCAGCCATGATAGATCAGACACTGTCTTCACCAGATTCCCACACCCTCCCCATGATGCCTCAGCGCAGATCTGCGAAGCTCTGGCAAGAGAGACTTCTTCCTCCTCACCTGCAAACACACAGACGGGTTCATCCTTCTAGCGATTGGATTTGTTTGCCATTTGACACTTTTATTTGTTTAGTAAATGTTTGGTTTTGCCCTGTTATAGGTGGCGTCAAACACAGAAATGAGGCTGAGAAGCTGTATTGTTCTGAGAATAAGGATTAAGATGATACAGTGTTCAATCTGTGCTTTATAAATGCCTTATGAGCCCAAGGATGCTGGCTAATTGACAGAGGTGTTGAAGAATTAATTAACACTTTGAGCCTTTAACATGAAAGGTGTCCTATAGAATTAGAAGTTAATATTGACTGTTGACTCTAATTGCCTGTTTTGTTGTGATGTGTTTTCTCATTTTGTTTCAAAAACTATCCATTTATTTGACTGTTAATCTTTCTAATGTTCTTCTGCCAACCTGCCCCTGAGCATGTTTGGTATTGGCTTAACTGTCAGCATCTCTTCAAATAGTGACACTTTACCAAAACACATAAATAAAAGGGGCACCTTTTTCAAAGGCTAGAATATTTGATTAAAATATCTCGGCATAACAGTTTGCTACCTTATTTTTTCCTGAACTCTAGAAAATGTAATTTCTCATAGCATTTATTCCTACTCTTAGCTGTGATGGGGCTAATCACAAAAGATAGCAAGTGAGCGATATTTTTCTATTTTGGATATGCATATATATTGAGCATCTTTTGATCCCAGAGTACCAAATGTGGAATAAAGAGAACCACTTCTGGGCTCAGTGGACTACAATGGAGGGGTAGAAGAGATTAGGCAAAGAGACAAGATCAAAAATCTGTGAATGGCTGAAGCAGATTTTATGTTCGAGCCACCATCAATTTGAGATACTTAGCACCTTATCAAAGTAGAGGCATTATCTTTGCATAAAAGACTGATAAGTTTATTCCTTCATTTATTCAGATATTACTTTGCAAATGCACTGAACAGCATGAACTGTTCTAATTGTTTAAAGTCCTTGATCTTCTAGATTATTTTCAAGTGAGAAAGCTAGACGTTATTCATCTGTAGAGATGTTTAATTATTAAACATGAGGTGATTTGAAGAGCAAATATAAAAGAATTTGGCTAAGTTTCTGCAAGGAAGTGATATTTGAGCTAAAATCTGAAAAATAGTAAATGCTATTATTCTTGAGTCTCTTACAAAGCACGCATGTGAAAGAGGTGGTATAAAATTTATTTTCTTTCGGCAAATGAGGACCAATACTGACTGTGAACGGTTTGACCTTTGTCCAGGAGAAGCTGTGTTGGGTGTGAACTGGTGGACTGGCTTCTAGAACACTGTCCCTTTGTCCAGTGCAGATCTATGGCCATTGGGGTGTGGCAGCTCCTTCTGGATATGGGAATTATGTCATCAGGTGAGTGCTGTATACTTGAAGGCACAGATTCATTATTTTATCCAGCTAACAGACCACATGCACTTGCTTTTTTAAAGGATATTATCATCTGGGTGGAAATAAGTTTTTCAGGTAAACATCTGCATTCTCTCTTATTTTATAAATAAGTGACAATGTCACTGTCACTGTCACTGTCACTGTCCTCCCGTTGTTCATCGATTTGCTCGAGAGGGCCCAGTAACGTCTCCATTTTTTTTGAGACTTGTTGTTACTGTGTTTGGCATATTGAATATGTCATGGGTAGCTTGCCAAGCTTTGCCGTGCAGGTGAGATACTTTCGGTAGCTTGCCAGGCTCTCTGAGAGGGGCAGAGGAATAGAACCCAGCTCGGCTGGGCTGGCTGCGTGTAAGGCAAACGCCCTACTGCTGTGCTATCGCTCTAGCCCAGTGACAACATATCTTTTGGTATTTCTCTCCCACATTTTAGAAAAATCAATAAGGTACTTGCTAACTCTTAATCTGGTACCCATAAGAGTCATTCCCTTATCCCCTCCCTTCTTTACTCAAAATACTGCTCAAAATTAAGAAAAAAGGTTTTTTTCATTTATTCGAGGTGGGAGGTGTGTCCAAGTAGTGCTGAAGGGGGCTGGGACCACTTCCTGTGATTTTTGGCCTTCTGTCTGGTCCAGTGGTTTGGTTCACAGGCCCAAGAATGTGTTGTTGCCCAGGAGACATCCAACGACACACCTGGTGGTGCTTGGGGGACCTTGTGGTGCTAGGACAGAACCTGGGTGGGTGTACACCTGGTTCTGCCAAATCTCTGTACTATCTCCCCAGCCCCATACATTTTTTTTAAAGCGCAAGCATCTTTAGTTGCTCTAAATAAATGATTTATTGCGCAGTACTTGGAATAATCAGAAGCTGATTTTATGAGTAGAATGTGTATGCCATTTTAATTGGCTAAGTAATCATGGACAGTTAGAGACATGACCTGTGAAAATGAGCTGTTTAAGCAGAACAGAAAATAGATGTTAACTAGAAACTAAAATAGATGGTGGATGGCTCTGTTTTTTAGCTGAGAGAGGGAATTGGAAGGATTAGAAGTTAAGCCACACTATCTGTATTTTATTTTGTTGGATCACTCAGGTGCTGGTGGGTTATCATAAAGGTCTCTTTTCTTTTCTTTTTGTCTTGTGGGGTGGGGGGCGGGCGGAGCAGCAGAGGGTGGAGACGAGACTTCCCAAGCGAGACTCAAGCAAGGGGGGAATTCCCAGTGATGCTTGATCTGTTGGGCCAGCTGGTTAAATGCTCAGGCCCAAGGATGCTGTCCACCAGGGTCACCCCAGCAGTGCTGGTGGGGGTGTGTGGTTTCCTCCTGCACCTCACCCTGACAATGCTCAGAGGGTCAGGTTGTTCCAGAAGTTGAACTGGGGTTGTTCTGGCCCATGAAGAGCATGTGCTCCTGAATGCAGGAGTGCTCCCCTACCCCCGGAAGGCCTTCTTTTCTATATTTCATAAATATTGAGGGCCAGAGAGGATAGTAAGGTGCAGAAGCTCAGACTCCAAGTGTGAGAGTTGTACTGATGGGTTGTGGGTATGAACTTAGAGAGTCAATGAAACCTTGCACCTGATACTCTTAATTTAGCAAGTTTTCTAACTACCCTTGAATAATGTTATTTATTCGCTTGTCTGACAGGTTCTGGATTTTCATTAGCAAACTGTTTTGTCTTAATGTCTCCAGTTCTTGATTTCTTTAGGACAGTATTCCCTATTGGCAGTATTGATATTTGTGGCTGGGTGATTCATTTTTAGATCTATACTGTATTCTATACACTTTTTTCCAGCATCCCATCCACTCCCCAAATGCCAGTAGTACACCATAGTTGTTATTACCAGAAATGTCTACAGACATTGGCAAATGTGCCCCCCAGGGGCAGGGAGTGGGGGGAAGAATTGCTTCTAGTTGAAAACTACTGACATAAAACCACTTGACATCATATATCTGTGCATGCACCACAAAATTAATGAGATGTATTATCTTGCTTCAGACCACTACATTTTTTTTCTTCCATTTTCTTTGAACGGCTATTGATTTCATCTATCCCCAATGCAGACAAATTATAAAATAAATGTGAATATGCCGGTAAAAGCTTCAAGTAATAAAAACAGATTGGTCAGTAAATCCTTTTTAATTCAATGGGAATGTGAGCATGAATGGGCTGAGAGTGTATCATTATAGCCTACCCTTGGCTTCTTCATAATAATTGATGAGATTTTCAACTTACTATTCGGTTTTTGATTTTCTAAATAATAGAGTTTCAAAACCTGACTCCCATCTCTTTTGTTTCCCTCAGTGGACCAGCACTTATACTTTCAAGACACCTATGTTTTCTATCAGTTTTCATCTGATGAATGTAGCTATTTGTACTGTGAATTTGAGCGAGAAGAGGAATGGCAGAATGGTGTCAAACTCTTACTGCAACTTGTGCCTCTCATCCCTGCTAGACCTGGCATATGTGAACTGTAAGTAGTTGATCTTTTGTTTCATTGCTTGATTATCCTCACTTGGAGAATATTTACTGCAACTCAGGACTGTCGTCTGCTCTTTATGATCACCTTCTCCCACAAAAGGCAGTTGCGCTATTCCCATTTCTCAGATTCAAGTTCAGAAAGACAAAAACCAATTGTTGAAAATTAAATCCCACTAATAAATGGACACATTAAAATGCAGATCTCAGAAGTCTGTGTCTCACCAGCTGCTTCTAATTTAATTCTGCTCTATAAGTAGAGGGTGTAAATTTGGAGTAGACTTGGTTGGGCTGAAATTGGATAAAATCATAACTCATATCGTATCCACCATCCAAGTCGTGACTCCCCTAAGAAAGAGCTCAAGAGAAATTTCTGAAAATAATCTAGAAGCAACATTTGGCAAATTAAAATACGTGAATCATTATCACATGAAGATACTGAATCACCATATGATTAAAATGAATTAAAATTAATTCATCAGAACGTCTGAAAACAGAACTTGAGTCATGCTATGGCAATTCCGACATGCCTTTGTTAATCCATAGCATTAAGGAAAGGTTTATTTCAGCACAAGGAATTGCAGATTCAGATTTCAGTTGTTAATTTTTACACATTCAGTTGTCAGAATATGTTCCCATACTGTGACTGAGTTCTGTAAGATTCCCAGGACTAATGTAGCTAAGTAGTAAGAAATAAGGCTCCCGGTGAAGTACTTACAAACATAATGAAGATAAGTTACTCTGTTTTGCTTTAAAATCACAGTAGACACTGGCTATTAGAAGGGTTCAGCGAGCTAGTACAGAGGATAAGGCACTTGCCTTGCATGCAGTAGACCTGGGTTCACTCTCTGGTACCCCAGATGGTCTCCTGAGCCCACCAGGAGTGATTCTTGAGTGTAGCCCCAGCAGTAGGCCTGAGCACTGCCAGAGCTTACCCCCCAAACAAACAAAAAAAAACACCTGACTACTTGAAAAGAAATATCAGAATATTAGTGAAGTGTTATATTAATATATTGGTTGTTGAAGACACATTGTATATCAGGAACTATGCTAAATGCTCTTCTGTCTATTGTTTCATCTTCAGATGAGTTCTTTAATAGTTATTAATATTATCCTTATTTTCGAAGCGAGGAAACTGAGGCAGAGGAGAGGTAACCTGTGCAAGGGCACAGCAATGAGTGGGGTGTCAGAGTATGAATCTGTATCTGTCTCTACAACCCATGCTTTTAATACCTGCTAGGTATTCCTGGGAGTTCTGGGGGTCAATGGAGCTTCCCCCTCTAAGATGCAATTAGCAGAAACTACTTGAAAAATAATTATTACACTGGGCTGGAGATATCTTTCAACAGGCTGACATGCCTTCCTTGCACGTGGGTGGGCTGGGTTTGATCCTTGAAACTGTATGGTTCCCCAAGCACCCGTGGATATGTGCAAACACAAACACAGAAAGGATTCTCCCTGAAAAGGCTATGCATTCATTACCGCAACCATTGTTTATGGAAGTCTTCACAATGACAAAGCAAAAATTCTAATGTAATTCATCTCTCAACCAACCTAAGTTAAAAACACTTTCTTGTAGTGGATAGTGCTTTTAATGTAAATCAGAAGTTTCCAGAGAAAAGTCATGGGGCAGTTCGATGAATTTGAGCAAGAGTTCTTTCTCTCTCTCTCTTTTTAAATTAGTTTAAAAAAACTATTAAAGCACTGTAATGTATAAGTCATTCATATTTGGACTTTAGGCAGCATCAGTCCCCCACCAGTCTCTTCTTCCTTCCACAAGAGCAACCAGGCCCCCTCCTCCCAGCTCCTAGCCCACCCCCAAGCTGCCTCCTTGACAGGTACCTGCCACCCTAACAGGTACCAACAACCAAATTTGTAAAGTCTCTTGTTTTCAGTTATCTGGAATCTGATTTGGATATTTAGCCACACCATTCCTTTACTAGCACAGCAGTAGGGCGTTTGCCTTGCATGCAGCCAGCCTGGCTGAGTCGGGTTTGATTCCTCCACCCCTCTCGGAGAGCCTGACAAGCTACCGAGAATATTCAATATGCCAAACACAGTAACAAGAAATCTCACAATGGAGACGTTACTGGGCCCACTCGAGCAAATCGATGAACAATGGGAGGACAGTGTTTGTTTGTTTCACGATCATGATCACGATCATTCTGTTGTTCGTCGATTGCCTCGAGCAGGCACCAGTAACGTCTCCTTTGTCCTAGCCCTGAGATTTCAAAAAGTGCCATATTCATGGCTCTTTCAGGGTTAGGAGAATGAGACCCATCATTGTTACTGGTATTTGACATATTGGGTACACCACGGGGAGTTTGCCAGACTCTTCCGTGTGGGCAGGTTATATTCAGTAGCCTGCCAGGTTGTCCAAAGTAAGAATGAGGTAATGAGATGTGACTTCCGGGATCTGGGTTTTATAGTCTCCCAGAAGATAATAATATATTTGTTTGTTTATTCTTTTACACCACCCTTGACCTCTGCTCATCACCATTGCTTCCGCCTAGCGCTTCTTCCTTGATTTCTTTCCTTCTCTGCCTTTCTCCTCCTATACTCTGGGGCCAGGAGCAATCAAGGCACCCCCCCCCCCTTTGAACTCTTGCAGTCCCTCATTACCTCGAGGAAGCTTTCTAAAGAGGAGTGATGGGCATTCTAAGCTAGAGGTACCTGCTTTGAGTCTGTGAGACTGGCATTATCTTCTTACCATTGCTTTTCCTGAATGCCAGCTGGACATGGATACACCTTACCATGGACAAACCCAAATCAAACAGAATGTCCTGGTATGTCAGTGAATGGGATGATTGTTATAAAGTAACCTGGTTCTATTTTGAAGAATTAAAAAATATTTTAAAACTGCATTCCGGGTTACACTTAATTTTTTTTGTTGTTGTTATACTACTCCCTGAACGCTCATGTCATACTTTGGGCATTGTGACCCACAGTGTGCCTTGTAAATTGTCAGTTTTGTCCCTGTCTATATGAACAAGTACAGTAGGGTGTGGTGGTGACTCTGAGAGAGCTGGAAAGTTCATTTTGCTAGTTAGGGATCTGCCTCACAGGTACCAAATATAGGTCTATGGGTGTGGCTCAGGATAGAGTACATGTTTTTCCTAATTCAGTCCCCAATGCTACATGTATATGTGTGCACACATGCACACACACACATACATACAGAGAGAGAGAGAGAGAGAGAAAGAAAGAGAGAGAGAGAGAGAGAGAGAGAGAATTGCTCAACTACTATAAGCCTCCTACTTTCAGGTCTGAACACAGAGATGAGGACGAAACCTGTTCTTTTCTTTTCTTGTTTTTCTTGTTTTTATTTTTCTTCCTTCTTGCTCAGGGGTTACTTTAGGCTCTGTACTCAGGAATTACTCCTAGTGGTGCTCGGGGTACCATATGGGATGCCAGAGATTGAACCCGGGTCAACCGAGTGCAAGGCAAATATCCTTCCTGCTGTACTGTTGATTCAGTCCCTATAAGCCTCTTCTGTAGAGAGTGCTTTGGCCAAGTGTTAGAAAACCAAACTTTTGAATACCAGGGAAACAGGACAGGAGGTAAAGCTCTAACCTTCCCTATAGCTTAATTGTTCATGAATGACCCTGGTTTTCAAATCCCCAGCTCTCTGTATGTTCCCCCAACCAACCCCAAGAGTCACTTCTAAGCCAGAGCCGGGAACATTGTTTCTGAACGCTATCTAATATAACCTCAATTATCCCCAATCGCCTCAAAAGAGAAAAATAAGTTTAGGCTTTTTAGATTTGAAATAAGTTATTTAGTCAGGAATATGTGGAACTATACCATCTTCTTTCTATTGTGCCATCAGCCCTGCCCGGGGTTTGACACCTGTGATCCCACGGTAGCTTCTCTGACCTGGGGACTCTGTTCATTCTGCTCTGTTCCACAGTTTATTCTTCTCTCGTGCCAGTGTGTTCTGAGCTTTTCTCTGCCTCTTTTCTGTCTAGTCAATTGTACCCACCCCTCAAGGGGGAGCCCAAGTCCTGTTTGAGGCTGAAAAACTTCCCCAGTGGCACAGTCCATATTAGTCTTGCATTTCTCCTTGTTTATAAAACAACATTTCCATCCTTCTGTGCCCATCTTCCTTCATCCTAGGTTAATCCCTCATTCTTATTCATTCCATAAAATAAAGATTTCTTACGTCATAGCAGCTTATATGTTCCTAGCAGAAAACCCAGTTCTGTGGCCCTTTGAGAAAAACTTCGTATTTGAAAGCTATTAAAATCTAGTTCACCAGACAAAAGGCCATATGGCTCTCCATTTGGCCCTTTTCATTTGCTGTCCTTTTACTAAATCACTTTAAGATAACTAGAGTAGGCTACTTAATATCTCAACGAAAACACAACTCCATTCTCCCAGATGCATTTTTAAAAAGAACAAAGGAAAGCAGATTTCTTATTTCATCTAAAGAAAGGAGTAAACAGGAAGCATTAGCTGGAGCCACTGCAGATTTCTAGGTTGATCTGAAGCAACAAAACTTTTGTTCTGTACCAGGCACCAGGTAACTGATTTTTTCAAAATTGAATAGAACATTGTAAAGATTGTCAGGGCAATCTCAGAGCAGTGGGTTGGGGATGAGGGGACACGAACAGTCAATGTACCTCATTTCAAACTGAAAACCAAAAACCAAAGCATGTCATCCAGATGGATCTTTCTGTACCTTCTTCTCTTTTTTTTTTTTTTTTTTTTTTTTTTTGCTTTTTGGGTCACACCCAGCAATGCACAGAGGTTACTCCTGGCTCATGCACTCAGGAATTACTCCTGGCTGTGCTCAGGGGACCATATGGGATGCTGGGAATCGAACCCAGATTGGCTGAGTGCAGGGCAAACTCCCTATCCACTGTGCTATTGCTCCAGCCCCTTCTTTAAGGGTTGGAGGCTGCAGCAATTAGGAAAGTTGAAAAAGCAATGGAGGGGGAAAGGCAGGCTAGTCATTCCCTCTGGGTAGTGAGACCCCCTTCTGCCTCTACCTCT